AATTGACTGATGGTGATTTTGTCAATGGCAATGGTGTTCAAGTGCCAATGGTCGTATTATTATTATTATTATTATTATTATTATTATTATTATTATTATTATTATTATTTGCTGTAGTTGCTATCATGGGGCATGGGCACAGTGATGGCTGGTGACATAACAGCACTGGATGGCTTCACTGATTTTTTATTTTTTTTTGCCTTTCCACCTGAGCTTAGCCATTCCATACTTCCAAGACTCAAAATGGAAATGCTAAGTCTCAAAGAAGCATTACCTTCTCATTTTTTTTTACTTTTTGTCCTGTGAATAAGGACTAATATTTCCATTTATGCCATCAAATATCATCCATGGAATCTTGGGATCCTTTAATTTCTGCAATGTGTTCTCAGTTTCTTTAGAGCTGCAATGGGGGAATCAGGGACTACATGGAGCCCACAGTCCACAGATTGCCCATCCCTGTTTGAAAGAGAAAACATATTTAAAGCTTCAAAGCTCCATCCAATTATTTCAGGCAGCTTGTATATGAAAGTCATATGATAATGAATACAAATGGGCATAAACTGTATCTTGGGTCCATAACTATTAGCATTTCCATTGTGTATTTGACTAAAACACTTTTAATTTTCTGTTTACTAATACAAAGGAGCTTATTTGTAATTTTTTTTTCTCTCCCAGGGGAATATTCTGAAGTAACCACAATTAAGAAAGAGAAATGTGAGTTTATAACTGGCATTTGTTTTCACAGTATTTTGTGTCAATTAATAACATAGCAATAATGTGTGGCATTCAAACTCAGATTTGGTTGAAATGGTAAAAAGTTTAGATTTGTCAAAAAACAAATGCTGGACAAAATAATGCTTGGCATTTACTTGACTATTAACAATCCTGATGCCAGGCCTGACCGGGGAAGAAAATGAATTCAGACAGAGATAAGCTACATCAGTCTTTGGATGTATTTGACTGCAGTTCCTGGAATTTCTAGCTATCAAGGAGTTGGTTTGTTTCCCACACATTTTGACAACAGACTAAGGAAGGTTGATCTATGCCTTGCTAAATTAGATGTTTCCTTAGTTTACAGCTACATACTCTGATCATTCTTTTTATTTTCCTCTTCTCAGCTGCTGTCCGATACTATCAGTGTGTCTTTGTAAGTGAATTTAATGGTTATACACCTCAATATCCTATTACTCCAGAAAAACCTTCTGATCCCAAGTTGAAGGCACGGAAACAATAATGTCCTGCAACCTGTGACATTGCAACAATTTTGCACTTTGCACCCAGTTCAGGGGGTCATCTGAAGTCCACTTGGCACCTGTGACAATGGAAATATGTTCCGACAGATCACACACACTTGGAAAGGTTGTCTCCTTGTTGTTAGAGCACCAGAGGCAAACTGAAGGTGCTACATGACTAAGGATATCCATACTACTTCCCTGAAGGAAAGCATGGTGCTGAAAGAGTACTTGACAGAAAGTAAAGTTCTGTGTGCAGGTGTAGTTGGGTATATGTATGTATGTCCATATATTCCTTCATGGTCTGATTCTAGTTTCTGTTTTATACCTAGTTAGAATGGAAAACATTTTCCATGGTTTCAGTTTTGGAAAATATTGAAAACAGGATTGGTAATTTGCAGTATTGTTTGCCATCTAAATGAAATGATGAGTCAGTCCATGCTAACCTTTTAAGTAATCAGACTCTAATAATAAAATATATGTTCTACATGTGATTTTTTCCATAAAAGCAAGTGATAAAATGTTTGCTATTTGCATATAAGAGAGATATTTGAATTAAGAATATCACCTATCAATTTCTCTTTACTTCCTATTTGAAATAATAGGCTGATATCTCAGCATCAAAATGAAAAATATCATGCTCCTGATGAAAATATCTAAAAATATTATTCCTGCTGCTTATCAAAATAGATCTTGCTTTGTACATAATAATGTGTCTCTGCATCTTGTTCCTGATTTCTATTAAATGCATTTTGTGTATATTGTTTAATACTTCTGTTTGCAATGTCAAATTGAACGAATTATTGTAGGACAACTTTTTACACAAAAAAATTGCATCTGTAGTCTTTAATGTGAATCAATTTCATAAATTTCCAAAGGAGAATAATATTACGAAAATGCTGACATTTATTTTGAGGAGATGACATAAGATTTAGGTAACTATGCCTAAAGAGGTTCAAGCAATTCATGACAATGTTTGGTTTTCCTTTCTCCCTATCTTTTCATGTTTTGGTCATACTAAAATATGACTGGAATTCAATGCTACCTAGACAATCTCCATTACTGTATTTTCAGCTAATCTAAGACGGTCCTCCCATTGTGAAGGTAATTTACTGGGGGGAAAAACCAATACAGGTAAATAGAGTCTTTGATTACTACCAGCTGTGGAAATGGTAAGGTTCATTCTGTGTTAGACTGGAGCCTAAATCACAGACAAGTGATTTAGGATCATTATGATAGAAATAAAAGATTGTCCTACTGAAAGAATAACCCTTTGGAAGTATAGGCTTGTCCTGCTGCTTCCTTTGCTATCACTTGTCAATGGATAAGCAAAATGAGGAAGGGTGTTTCAACAGAGCAGACAACTAAAGACTCTAGTGTTTTTTTAGAGCATTTATGAGATATGTTTCTGATATGTCACAAGGTATTTGCACTGATTCAAAGGTGATTGACCTTGTTAGTATAATATCATGATTGATGAAAGCACCCCAACTTTTTATAAATGATGATACCTCATAAGTAATATGAAGACTTTTAACTGTGCCTGATTATATGGTAGAGTTGTAGAGTTGGCATAACATTAATTTTGTCACCAACTCAACTGTATCAGGAATTACAATCCACAATGAGTGCAGAAGTTTCAGAACACAACTTTGGGATCTGCCTCTATTAGGTGGTTCATATCTACCTCTGATCTTCCCAAGGCAGAATCCTTAAGGTTCTGTTCACTTTTCTTATAATTTGTTTATTATTTGCTATTCTTAGCATAGTTTCAGTGGCTTTCCAAAGGCCTGCTGATTTAAATGCGTGTTTTTAGTCAAATCGCACAAGGTTTCTTTAGAATTTTATTGCAATATTGCTAATTATAGGGAAACCATTTAGAATATTAAAAGCTGTTTAACTGAGATTTATTGAAGCATATCCCAATTCCAAATAACTGGATAAAGTGCAATAGCATACTTGAGAAAACATTTCCCTTCAGATATCAAGGTGAGTCAGAGAAATTCAAAATGTAAAACCTCACCCAATGGTCAATGAAATATTAACCATTTGTTTAAAACACAAGTTTCTTATTGCATCCATACACACTTCAATTTAATCAAAAATCCTACTATGGCATTATTTGAATTCCATGCTTTTATCCAGAAAACCTTAAGTATTGATTTGCAAAACAAAATGAGCAAAGGGTATCATGGTAGGTACAGCTCAGTTTGATTATTTGAGGGGGCAATGCTTCAGGGTATTGTTATTTATGTAAAGTTTTTAATAAGTAACCTGCCCATCCTGACATTTTAATTAATACCAAGAATCAAGCAGAAATTACTATGGTCTTTCGATGTGACACATGTTCAGTATATAGTTTGTCATAAATTCACTTAAAATCCTAAGCTAAAAATTCTTTTCCATGTTCTAGTCCTTGATACCACTTTGAGTGAGAAACATTTCTCAAGACTGAGAAGGTTTGTTTACTTGGCATCTACATAAATATTTGATGTTAATAGACAAAGTCTTCATCACAAAAGCAGAGAACCCATTGTACTGTTGTGCATGTATTTCTAGCAGCAGACGGGGATAAAAAGTACAACATTTTATTATTGTATAGCAGACAAAATAACCCTATAGCAGCATAGTATCAAGAGCAGATGGTGAGGAGACTTCCTAAATCCTACTGTTTCATATTGATCAGGACAAAGGAAATGAAGGAGAGACTTATAACTTTTTCTCCCCACTTTTGTTGTTAATTTACTTGCCCTTTCTTTTACTGGGAATGGAAATTACACCAGCTCCTGGGCTAGCATATTTCCTTCCCATTCTGTAGATATATCCAGAGAACTGGAAGATTGATCTGATAGCACCAAATTCTTCTGGATGTGGCCATATCATCTCCTTTTTTTTTTTTTTTGGCTGAACTTCCCATTTTCATTGGTTAGACAGCCACAAAGGCAGAAATGTCTACTATCGTCCAATGAGGGTCCTCAGTGAGAATCCTCATTGGACCTTTTTTTCTACGGAGGAGCCTCTCTTCCACCTACAGGGAGGGAAGCCTGCAATATCTTATTGTTTGTAGGATGCCACTCCAGAGACTGCAATAATGTTCATTGAAAGTACAGTGCTAGCTAAGCTAAGCAATATATTGCTTGAGTCACTTACCTACTCCACACTACTCAGTGCTTTATGATGGACTATAACATTTGTACATTTTTAACCTGAAATGCAGGTCTTTTTTCACAGTAAAAATCAGGGATTGAATATGTGACATCCATAACTTCTGGCTGCATTTCCTTTATCATGAACAGAGTAAGAAAAAAAGAACACTGGCTAAATGACTCTAAATGACTCTTGTATTCCTTAGTTTTGATGATGACAAAGACAGCATCTTTAAGAGCAGTTTGCCAAGCCATCCACTGCTTTTTAACTGCAGCAGAAGCCTCCCAGTTGTCAAAGTAACATACCTAGTTATAAGCACTGAAAATAAGACTATCTCAAAGCAAAGAAAGAAGTAATGCTTCGCATGAAATTGTTTTTTTAAGACATCCAGATAGGTTCATAGGCATGCAAAGTCAGTAGAGGTGAACTAAGAAGGTAAGAACAAAAAGGCCTGGGAACTATTACAAATAACATAGGCAGGGTCTTGTTTTAAACAAGAAGGGAATGAAATATGTTAATGGATGCATAGAGAAAGGTGAATATAAGAAGGACAAAATGAAGAGATATACCAGCATTGTGAAGGAATGTAGTAGAAGGAACGCTGAGGAAATTTCGAAAAAGGTGCTGCAGAGCAATGAATGAGACACAGATGGGGAGAAGAAACATGGTAAATAAAGAAAAATGTTTGATCTTCCATTTTGAGAGATAAAGCCAAAAAAGCAGAAAAGATAATATGGATTGTTTTCTACAAACTTGAGAAAGCACTTTAGAAGGGACTAAGCTGGGAAATAGTCAGTGGTCTTTTACAACTACAAAAATAGATTTATATTTAAGAACACAGTATTGCATTATGGATAAGTGTCACAGTGGTGGTAGCTAGAGAATAAGGCAATGGGTTTGTTCCAATGAGAAAGTTATCTGCATGTCAGACATTACACTTTTCCCAGTCTTCTTACAATTGCGAGGCACGTACTGTACTTAGCCAATAAAAAGACTGGGAGGCCCATACATTTTTTACACATTTCTAATAAACATTCTCCCCTATTCTCAGCCCACAACCATGAGTTCCAAGCTCTCATTCCTTAACCACACCAAGGAAGGTTAAGGTTGTGACTCTATTGTCGTATGGAAGACACACACCTATCTCATTCCCTCTAATCTCTGGTGTAGTATCTTCATATAGGCTTATCTATAAATACCAAGAAGGTAGAGAATAGACTTTGTTATAATTTATAGCAGAGTAAACAGCACTGTCTCATGGACTCTCCCTTGGTGCCTTCTAGATTTCGGGCTGCAGATGAGTTTTTTATAGGTCCTTTGACTAAAAAAAAAAAGGATAACAAACAGAATATTGACATGTTACAAAGCACCAGATGCTAACATATGGATCCTATAGATAGTCTTAGAAAATAAAATTGCTAGGTAGCTACAGCCTAGCACCTTGTTTGGAACTATGCTCACCTGTCCAGGAAAAACAGAAACAATGGGGTGGGGGAGGGAGGGAGAGAGAGAAAGAGAGAGAGAGAGAGGTATGCTAGAGATCATCACAAATGACAAAATATATATTTTGTGACTGGCTGTGCTGATTATGACAATCATTTGTCAAATAGACAATCTCTATGGCAGCCATCTGTCACAGCATTCAGCAAGGCAAAACCTACTTCTGACTCATTCCATGAGTGTAGGTAGTCTGAATTTATGGCTGTAATATAAATATGTATCACACCACACTTACAACTTTGTAAATAAAATGAAAGGGAGAAGAGCAAAAAGTTGTGTGGACTGAGGACCTGGTGGTTAGTTGCAAATTTCTCCAAAACTGATAGATTAGCACAAAAGGGTTTTATGATTTCCTGAAGAAAGATCACTGAGATCTGAAAAGGATATTGTTTAGAGTATCATTTAGGCTTCAGTCCTATATAGACTCTTACAGTATTAACACCTACTGAATTATTGAAGTTATGAAATAGTTGGAGCTCTATCCAGTCATGTCTTGCCTTACCTTAGCAGAAAGTGCTTATACAATAGAAAGTTATTTAGACTATCAAGAAATTCCCTCTTTTATTTCACAATTATGTTTTAATGACTGCTATATGTTAAAATGCTTGCACTTATTGACAAATATAGCTTTTGAAGTAAACAACAACAAAAATGCCAAGGACAGGAACATTTTGATTTTTATATTTATGCCTTTGTGCCTTCATTTGCATTCTTACTTTGTATATGCTTTACCAGCACTAAAAATGTTTCCTTTTCAAAAATTATTTCATTTTTGGTCTCTAAATGACATCCAATATAGAAAATGTTTTGAAGCATTGACTACATATTGTAATTATTTATGTGATAATTCTAAATATAGAAAGTATAATTGTTGAATAACTGAGTTGAGATGTAAATTTGAAGCCCTGTAGCAAGACTTTTCCAAAGAAAGACTGAAAAAAAAAATTGTTATTTGGTTTCTGTCAGATTACCTGCTCTTGCAAACCTCGCTGATATTCTGTAAATGAAAAAATATCAACTCTTTTCAGTAAAAGGGAAATGTTTTCAACCTCATGTTTCTGAATTTTTAAATTAAATACTATTGCTCCATTGCAGTTTTAGATGTTTTTAGTTTCAGAATTTAAATGTCCTTCAGAATGCACTGTTCCATATTCCTAAATTAAATATTCAGAGCTAAAACATTTGGTGTAGCTTTTTTGCATTATTATTATTACTACTACTATTATTATTATTACTTATTTTGTGATAATGCAAATCTTTGCCAATCTTTCTCATTTTTCACTCATGCATATAATTCATTTTATCTGAAATTAAGCAGAATTTAATAATAATTTTATTAAAGTTTATAGTTACAAAAATAAAAATCCAGCACAAACTAAGAAAAATATGAGT